TTACAAACTATTTTGTTTCCTTGAGATTGAGTATTTATACGAGAAATACAATTTTTAATACATGTTTAAGTGCTCAGTATTTTATTCGGCTTTGCACTTTTTATCTGCAGGGTAAACAGGAGCATGCAGAAGCAGCTGGTTTGGTTCAGGTAAAGATTATACTGAATTTCATACATTGGGCCAACTACCTGAGACATAATAGTTTCATTCTGTTGCCTATAGGATTACATACCGATTGAATATTAATTTTAGTGACCTTCGATTGACATAACCGGATGTCATTATTGCCAACGTAAATTACAATTTTACTGAATTTATATTTACCCTTCGCCAGCGGTTTTAAATTTCTCTCAGTGTCGCCTGTTCAGGCCATCTTGACTGATGTCTCTAGCTGTACATGTCTCAGAACAGAATCACCAATTACCAGAGTTTGATCCCCTGCGGGGGTGTCGCCAAGTAGGGAAAAACAGTTAGACACATGAATGGGTTGGTGGTGTACCAGGGGCTTCCTCGTCACCCAGTCATCTTGTTTTCCCGACTGCTCGAGACAATCTGCCAGAGGAAGCCAATGGGGCCTACACTACCTTCGGCTGTGCTGGCTAAAGGGGCCTGGCTAGCTACGGGATGTTTAAGGGTGTGAAGTCGAGTCTCCAATTCTGTGATCCTGAGTGAATGGTCAAAGATTACACCTTGAAATACGTTATAAGTTTTTAATTAAATTGGCTACCCAGATAAACTACACAAAAACACCACTGTGTGTTGGAACAAGAAGTCACACTCTAATGCAGAAAGCAAATACCAAGTGACCCACTGGTGACAGTGTTTCACTGGCAGTAATTATATTTAATTGTATTAATTCTTAACTAATGAAGATTTTAATTGTTTTGATTGTGATAGGAAGAACAAAACTCAAATCAGGAACCAATTGTTTTTTTCCAAGTAAGTTAAAAACAGTTTTTTCCCCTTCAGATTTAATGTCCATATGACAAATACATGTTTAAGAGCTTAATATTAAACACTGCTTTGCACTTTTTTATCTGCAGCTTGAACAGGAACATGAAGAAGCAGCTGATGTGGTTCAGGTAAGGATTATACTGAACTTCAGACATTTAGGCCAACTGCCTGAGACAAAGTAAAGCTCCATTCTCTGGTTTATAGAGACTGACCACTCTCTACAGAAGCCAATAAATGATTGAATCTAAAAACTTAATTCATAGGGGGTTGGGGAATATACATTTTGCCCTAGCTAGGAGGTTTGCCAACCGTCTCTATAGCTCTTTGTGACTGGGACTTAATTATGCGAAAGAATTGTCTCATAGTATCACCAATGTTTACTAAGAAGAAGGTTATTATAATTTATTTTTCATCAGTCTGCTGGCTAATTAAAAAAAATTACTGCATTTACGTTTGTTGATTGTAAAACTTGTATGTTAGTGTCCTTTAAATGTTGTTAACGAACAATGCCAATGCAAATAGTGATCTGTATAGCTGATATTCATCCTCAGGTTTTGCCATCCACAAGTTCCAATGGTAAGATATATACCATCTATTACATCTGATATTCATCTTTCAAAGCAGAAATATTTTCATTTTGACTAAATGATTCCATTGAGCTCAAGTTTGGATATCGAGAGAGACCCAGCCAACAAACGGATATTTTTTTGTGGCTTAGGAAAGCGAAAGTCGGATCTTCAGGCTGAGTCCCTCAAATGTTTCCCAGCAGCTAAAAGACGTTGTGACTCAGGTATTTTTATTTGTTTCCAAACAACATATCCAATGAAATTTTTCTTGTTTAGCAAGAAAAAACTTTATCATCAGGTTGCTTATATAAAATTTTTCTTATTTCAAATCAAACATTGAACAATCAACTTGTGCCATAAGTACTTGGTAAGTGGTCCATAAGAACCTGATACATTACCCTTTTTGGATATCAGTGTATCACATTGTGTGTTATAATGGTTCATAATTCCTGCTAAACACTTCTTTACTTTCACTTTGACAGACACCAGAATATTGTCTGAAGTGAGAGGCATAATGAAACAAATCAAGGACCGTATAAACGACAAAGAAGAACTTGGTGCTTTTATAAAGTGGGTATATAAACATTTAAGTAAGACCTTTTACTTAAGGTATAATGAAGCTTTATTCATATGAGATCCAGATCTCTTTTGTAAGACCATTCTGGTGAACGAAAACCATACACACAAGGTGTTCACAAAGAGATGGCTTTCTAATTTTGCGAGACATTTCATTGTTGAATAAATTAACTCACATTTAAACTCTTGTTCCATAGGAATAAAATCAGTGATTTAGAGATTAACAAGAGAGAGCTTGTTGGTGTCTTTGGAAGAACTGGGGCTGGAAAGAGCTCGTTAATCAATGCCATCATTGATGAGAAGAATCTTTTGCCCACTGGAAGTATCAGCGCATGCACCTCAGTCGTGATTAAAGTGGAGGCTAACACACGTAGCTTAAAGTATGAAGCGGAAATTGAGTTCATTAAAAAAGAGGTACAATAAAATGAAGGTTTATTTTTTTACAGTATATGTATATATAAGTATGTATATAATAATTATATAATACATTATTATAATAATTATGATTTCTAGTTAGTCTGCATGACATTTAAGAAAGCCCAAAGATTGTTTTTGTTTTTATCTTGTTTTAGGAGTGGCATGATGAATTATGGTCACTGAAAACTTACAAGAAAGGTGATGATGACTATCGGGACATGGTTAAAAAGCTGTCAGCCCTGTATGGAGATGAATGGAAAGACAAATCCCCTGAAAACCTTTTAGAACCAAAGTATTTCAAAAATATTCCAGAATTTTTTGAGTCCAGGAGGAAATCTTTGAATTGTGACACAGTAAGGTCAAATGCTATTCTATTACTTAGAATGTTTCTTGTTTTACTGAGTGAAATTTGTTTGCAAAGTCTGAAATTGATATAATTTATAGACGGCCTACTCTATGCAAATTGGGCTTTAACTGTTATTAAAAAAATGAAGAAAGAGAAAAAATAGAAGCAGAGTAGAATATAATGCATCTTTGATAAGTGCTACAGACCAAAATCACAAAACAAATCTGTTCTTGCCTTATCAAACCTCAGTGCTGCTTTTGACCCGTTTGAAAACTAGATGTGATCAAAGGACCAAAGACACAAGCAAAAACGTGAATATTTATTTACAATGTTTTCCAGCTGCCTCCTGCAGCTCAGCACACTGAGCTCCCTTGTCAGGTTCTGCCATCCTACTTAAATAGGGGAGACTGATTCTTATATAGATCTTTTTTACTTTATCTGAGCACTCAGAGAGTGGAAAAACAAAAACCTCATTGAAGAAAAGCATTTCAGACATACTCCAGATTTTTTAAACTCCATGAAGAAATCTTTGGAATGTGACACAGTAAGCTCAGAAACTCTAAATAATGCATTCTTTGAGAAAGTATTTATGTTTTCAGTTTGCAAAGACTGACATCATTTACTGTCGGCCTACTCTATAGAAATTGGACTAATTTAACTGCAAGTTTAGTGGATTTGTAACTGAGAACATTTTTATTTATCACACCTCCAAATCCATAAAATGACAACCAAACGTACCAGGGCAGGTTCTAATTCTTTTTGTTTTTTAGTTTTTTAACAGAATGAGTGATAGTTGCTGTGCAACTCTGCAAGTTCATCAAACTTTAAAAAAAGGAGAAAAAACAAACAAATTTGAGTTCCACTGAAATGGATTTAGAGGATTCGAAACAAACAAAAAATCATGTTATGGATAGATGGTATGAGAAAAGCTTTCAAAAAGTTTTTCATCCTAAAGAATGTCAGTAGTAGCTCCTGAGGTCAAGAGTGTACATATGGTTGTATATACTTACATTAGCCTGTGCTGTATTTTGGGTTTTCTGCTCCTAATTTACTGTAATTGTAAGTTTTAGCAAGATTGTAAAGATAGATAGAACTTTATTAATTCCTCGGGTTGGTTCCTCCGGGAAATTCAGTTAGGTATAGGTACATATTCAGGTATAGTATTACTAAAAGCTACAACACTCACTACACGTTATCGTTGCTCTTCAGTCATATTTTACTTTGCACTACTTCTTTAATCCAATTTGTAAGACACGTTCAGTGATTGTACAGGTTACGTGTTTTGCATTATCGTATTTATTTCATTTATTGCAGGCTCAAGAGCTATCTCAAAAACTTCGTATATACACAAAGGGTGGACCAAAGCAGGACGATGGATATAAAGCACAGCAGTGGTTTTGGCCACTAGTGAAAAGTGTGACTGTCAGGGTGCCGCACAATGAGCTCCTCCAGCATGTCACACTTGTGGACCTTCCTGGAAATGGTGATCGTAACAAGAGCAGGAACGAAATGTGGAAACAGGTAATTTATTCACATCCACTGCATCTTGTTTTGTCCTGTGTTGTCTGAACATTGTTTTGTGTAATTATTTAAAATTGCCATTCTATAATTCTCCTTTCAGATTGTTGTAGATTGTTCTACTGTGTGGATTGTGGCTGAAATTACTCGAGCAGCATCAGAAGTTGAAGCCTGGGAGATCCTAAAAAGTGCACATGGCCTCATTGGAAATGGTGGTCAATGTCAGCAAATCCACTTTATCTGCACCAAGTCTGATCCTGCAGATGATCGGTAAGTGAATTACCAAACCACACAGTGCTGGATGTGTTGGCAAAAGTACTCAATAACTGATATCAAAAATCATATCAAAGACGCATACTATTATCAAGACTAAGATAGTACCAGTTTACTAGAGAATGCATTTCTTGAAGAAAATTCAGTGTGAACGCTGACAGCTGAATCGTTTGAGTTGAATTTTTATAATTACTTAGTCTTGTACACCAGTGTGTACACTGAATACACCAACTCATTCACATGAGAGCAGAAGTTCACACAGAAGAAGTAGTTTCAGAGTTTGAAAGTAGCTTTTACTGTAACTTTTTCTGTGTGAACTTCAGCTTTCAGCAATTCTGCACTTTGACTTTCAGATGAATGGTTCAGTGTATTTCAGCTCAATGGATATTTTTCCAACCAAAGATTCAGAAGTTATGACATTTCATCTCAAACAATTCAGCTATCTGCATTCACACATTGAGTTTTCTTTAGGAAACGTGTTCTCTAGTTATTCCTTTGTTGTTATTTCAAGGGCATTATTCTTCTCCAAGATCTTATCCATATTGCGTTCAATAAACACAGTCTGAGTACTCACAGCCCTGCCCATCGTCTATCATGTCAGCCAGCCTTGTGGGATTTTGAACAGCTGTAGCTTCTTCTTCTTCTTCTTGTTCTTCAATAAGCCAGGTCCGAGCCAGCTCCAATCAGCCAGAATTCTGTTATCGTGGTTCCGAATTGATAGATGTCATTCAATGTCCTCCATCAAGATTGTCGCCAGACACGACACAACCGTGTCGTGTCTGGCGACTAAGATGATGTATTCATCTTAGTGTGAATGTTAGATATAAAACACTTGGATATAGAAAAAACTGTTTGAATGAAATTTTTATTTAAAGAAATGAAAACAGCAGGTCTGTGCTCTATTTCTGTCAGTGAGCGTTTCTAATGTTTGTAAGATATGAACACAACACTGTCAGAAACCCACCTAGCTTATTTACCATTACAACATGACAGCAACACACGAATAAATGAAACCTCCCGTTCATTCATCATTTAGCTCGTCACTTCAGCACAACTGACACAACTGTTTAACCAAATGATGGACGCTAGCTGTCATAAATCAGATAACCCTTCAAAACACAGCTGCATATTCGTTCTGTAGGTTTACTCTTATTTGAGATAACCTTTTTCTTACATGTGGTTAATGATCACAGAGCTCTGAGATCTGATTTCTTCTCTGGAAGTGGAACGTTTTAAAAGTGCGGCGACTCAGACTTGAAACAGCGCCGGAAAACCATAGTGGACAAAAGTATATTACATCTGTAGTGATTTAGCACTACCATACAAAACGAATGCGAAACAGTTTAGATCTGTTTATCTAAGGTTGTGGGTTCAAGTACAGCATGGGACATGTTTCTCATTTTCCACTTTCAGCATGTTTGACAAAAAGGTGCCACTTTTAATATATCCCGTGGTATACACATAGCTAAACATAACTTTTCTAGAAAATCACAAAGCGTTGTCCTTTTATACTTCAGAACAGGGTCTCAAACTCATGGCCCGGGGGCCACTCGCGGCCCACGTCACCCCCCCACCCCCCTCCTTGCAGCCTGTATATTGACGTGAAGAAATATATTGCAATTTGGCCCTTCAAGTTTGTTGTTGAATGCAATGTTAAAATAAGTTATTTAAAAAGCAAATTATTTAATATGAAGGAATATAAGCAGGGAGTACAAACATTTTGAGGAATTGTGTTAGTTCAGTGAGGGAGTTTGTAAATAAAACTATTTTCACTAGCAGTCAGAACTATTACTTTAACTACTGTGGTCTGCAGAATCTGTATAAGCATGGGGCCATTTACCATTGAATGAAACCATAAACAATAAAAAAAAAAAAGGTCAGGAAGAATAGAAAGCAAGATCCATCAGAAAATAAAAAGAAGGCAGAAAAGCGGGGCCTGAAGTGGTCAGTCCTTTAATTATGCTGATCTTATTGACACATCTTTTTGAAGTGGTAACGGTATCTTGCACTCCACATACAAATCCTTTGAAAGACAAACACTCAGCTATTTTCTTGATGTGTTGCTGTATGATTAAGCTATATGTTGAGTCCAGTTTTCTTTTCTATCCATTTAAGAGTTCCAAAAAACAAGGAAGCCAAGGAAGAAGTGATGAACGAATTCCAGGAACTGAGTGTGAGTTTTAAAGATGTTCAAACTGTTTTCTGTAATGGCGAGGCAAAGCTTCATTAAAATTAAAACACATTATTTCAGGAGCAGTTCAGCGTTAAAGGTTTCAAAGTGTTCACAGTGAGTGCTGATGAGTTCCTGAAAAGAAAACGTGTAAAAGAAGATGACAATGGTAGGTTGTAAGCATGTAAGCAGAATATTTTGTGATTAAAAGAAAACAATCTTATTCAATGCATATCTTGTTTTATTTACCCTCTATGTAAACCAGGAAGAAGTTACTAGATTAAATTACTTTTATTTACAGAAATACCCAAACTTCAAGACTTCCTGCAAAATCTCAACGACTGCCACTCTGAGACAATAAACTATGTGAATGGAGCTTATGGGATTCTGTCTTTGATTGAAGGTGCCAGGTGCAGCAAAGCGGTGAGATCAAGTTATCTATGTGGAACTATATATTAATGACAAATTTATAACTTCAAATGTTTCCATAACTCTGACACCTAACAAGATTTTAGTTATCAAGATTTCTTGACAGGAACTGACTGAAAAAAATTTCAAAATGATGAATGAAAATAGAGAGTTGTGTTTATGTTATTACTGCTTTAATAGAAAATAAATATACTTTTTTTAAATTTCAGGGTGTTGGAAAAGCAGATGATGTATGTAAAGTTCTCGAGAAAAACATGACAGAACAACTTGATCAAGTCAAAAGAGCAGTTGATGAAGCGATCAAGGATTTTGAACAATGTCTTACAGAAGGCATTAAAAATTCCAAAACTTCTGAAGAAAGACTGAAATTTTTTTTGGACCGTGATGTACGTATCTGAATTATAATTAACATCAAAGCAACAGATTTTGCACTTTATATGAGCATGTGTTTAGAAATGGTTTTCCAATTTGTTTCAGAAAGAGCCTGGTTTTTTCAAGACACTAGAGGCTGTGGTTTGGAAATACGGCATCCACCAAACAAAAAGAGGGGAACACATAAATCTCAACACAATGTTAGCTTCATGCTTGACTGACAGCATTGATGAAAAATTCAGAAAGACCTTCCCGTAAGAATAAACACATTTTAAACTGTACACTATACTTAAAATGATTAAAACAAACTTGTCAATACTGCCATCATGAAACTTTTTTTTTTCAGAAATGATGTTAAAGGCGAATCTTTCAATGGAGTCATCAGTAGATTTTCACTTGATACAAAATCGCTGATTCAAAAATACCAAGATGTCAAACTGCAGCTGATATTTCTCCAGACAGAGGTACGACATGAAACAATCCAGTTTGTCAGTCCATTATAGCAGAATTGACCTATTCCCTCTACAAATACTAATTCTGTTTATTAACTCATCCATGTTTCATGTTTTTAAGGAGGATAAAATTAAGGCAAAACTCAACAAAATAATCCTAAAGGGGAAGAAAATCATCTACAACAGTCTAACAGAGACAATTGAGAAAAACATGAAAAAGTGCTATGAAGGTAAGAAGATGGTCAGCTTGTCACTGTAATAAATCACAATTGTACATAAAAAATGTTTTGACAAAGTTTATTCTTCTCTTGTAGACGCACAAAAAATTTCTGGAAATGATGCACTGAAAAAAATGAGGAAGACTATTGAGACACATGTATTCTTAAATAGGAACATTTATGAGGACGCAAAAAAGACCACGATGAAGAAGATGAATAAATTGATGGTTTGTCAAATTATAACATACAATGAGACCAAGTTGTGTGTTTTTTGTATTTGAGTGTTTTTGCTCAGTCTGAACATTCTCTAAACCAGGGCTAGGCAACTCCAGGCCTCAAGGGCTGGTGTCCAGCAGGTTTTAGATATCACTCTGGGTCAACACAGCTGAATCAAATGATTAGTTCATTACCGGGCCTCTGGAGAACTTCAGGACATGTTGAGGAGGTAATGTAGCAATTTAAATAAGCTGTGTTGGATCAAGGACACATCCAAAACCTACATGACATCGGCCCTTGAAGCCTGGAAGTTGCCCACCCCTGCTCTCTAAGCATTAGTGAGGCTGCTGTTAATATTTTTATTTTTCAGCATTACAAAGATTTAGTCTGATACGATGGGTTGAACTGAAGAGTTTGAAGTATAAACTGGCCACAAGCACTCTAAACAAACATCTACCCATTAATTTAGATGTTTCAATTGTTTTAAACCTCAATATTTGACTTTGGAAAAAGTAATAAAAGCTCTGATGTTTAATTAGACAATCATCTGTGAGGAACTGGAGGAAACCATGGACCACTCCATTAAACACTCACTCAAGGCATCAGCTTTGAATGAGAGTCTCCCAGGTAAAGAAAATATAGGCTATGAAAGTAAATCATGTATGTTGAACAATGCCAAAACATGTTTTATTTATTTTTTGTTTTTCAGATGTTTCAGAGCATCTTGAAACTGTGCAGCAACATTACAATGAAATTAAGCACAGTCAAGAGGGAGAAATGACATCACAGTAACCAGGTAAATATTTAAATGTTATTTCATGTCACAGAATTATTATTATTAACCATTTTGTGCTAAATTACTTTAATACTTCCTGTGAATTCTCAAAGAGAGGGGGTGAAATCTGATGACAATCCTAAGCACCTAATTATACATTAACTTTTGTCATAATTTAAAGATCCGAAATAGCCATTTTAAATTACATATGGCCATTTAAGCTGTCCGCTTGTATTTTCATCATCTCAGCTAAAAAAAACCCCAGCTGGTTCTTATCTAACATTGTGCCAGGTAATGTTATGCACCGGTGCCCTAAAAATCCTCATTTCTCTCCGATAAAATGTTTGATTATATTCTTACATTGGATGAGAGTTTTTTTCACTAAGTGTTAAAGTGTGACACCATAATGTTAGATTTACTTTAAAAGAAGTTTACTAGCAGCTGCTAAACAACTGCTAACAGTTGTGAAAACAGCAGCACTACCAACATAAACATTCAGGACATGCTCAAAAACTTCCCTGAAAATTCTCCACAGTCTTTGGACAGAAGTGACTTATTGACTCATATCGGACTGACAGCTGAGGTAAACATGCTGAATTAATTATTGCTGTGCACAGACAAAGTATTTGAATAATATCACCACTTATAATTTGTGTTATTTTACCCTTTTTACATCCGAGTCACCTCAAACATGTTAAAATAAAGTGTTTCAAAAAATGATTTTCTACACAAACAGTAACAGAAACAACAGATATTAAGATTTTCTATTCTACTCTGAGGAGCTTTCAAGACATCTTAAAGCTAGCTGTAAGCACTGGCAATTTTACTGTTTGCCTGAGCAGCTGAGTGTTAAAAATCTTTGTGCTTATTATTACTGGATGTTTCAGATTTGCTCCACACAGTAACAGCAGAAACCTGATGACCCACTCAACATCTCTATGGGAACACTGACCAAAAGCATGAGGTCTCTGGATATCACCACAGACATTTCTGTTGTGTTGCTTGCTGTCTTTGAATGTTGTGTTTGACTTTTAATGAATTTGGTGAAATTAGATTTTTCAGTCTTCACTGAGAGAAGGTCCTGGGTTTGAATCCAGTTTGAGGCCTTTCTGTGTGGACTTTGCTTTTTCTTCCTGTGTCTGTGTGGGTGCTCTCTGTGTACTCCAACTTCTTCACACAGGCCAAAAACATGCATGGGGGTTAGGTTAATTGGTGTTATTAGTTTTGTATTTTGTCATTCATTTTTATTTTTCATTTCTGTTTAGTTTCAAGACTTACAATTTCAATTTATGTTTTATTGTTTGAAAATGTTTAGTTTTAGTTGATTTTTATTACTGTTACATTCTGATTTTATCTACTGTTTTTCTTTTAATCAATTTTAAATCATGCTTTTTTTTATTGTTTTTTTAATGTCTCTGTAAAGCACTTTGAATCACCTTGTTGTTGAATTGTGCTATATAAATAAACTTGCCTTGCCTTACTGTTAATTTTTTTTAATTTTTTTTTATTGTTGTATTTAGTGGAAATATCAGAGACAAAATTTAGGAAAACCAGTGGAAACAATAGAAATGTTTCACTTTTTGAAAACAGTTGACCCATTTGTCTTGTTACATGTCCAGTGTCTCAAACATGTCCATCAATACCATGTCAGGCACATTGTAATAACATTTTTACCAAACTAACAAATACTGAAACTAAAACTATTTCCTTTGATTTGTATTTCAAATGAGGTCATTTAATCATTTCTGTTGTTTATTGTTTTTATTTTGTTTAACTAAAATATTCATATCTAGTCTTAGTTTTTAGTTTAGTTTTAGTTGAGTGTAATAACCTTAGCAACCTATTCAGGGTGTACTCTGCCTCTCGCTTGACAACTGGGAAAGGCTCCAGCAACCCCGAATTGGATAAGCAGAAGAAAATGGATGGATTGAGAATTTTAAGTATTAATTCCTCCCAGGGGTATTACGGTTTTAATTGTGAGGGTCTAAACCAAAAGGGCAGCACTCTGTGCAAAGATGTTTTGATATCTATTTTCTCCATTTTGTTGTATTTGTTCATTATTTGTAGACCCTAGTTATACAGAAAATTATACAGCGGTAGAACTACAATGTTACAGATTTTTGATTTTAGTGCTTTAAACCACGCGGATACTGTGATATTCAGATTCTTTCCAGTTTTAAGGATTCAATTTAAGTAAATTTGAATATTTATTTTTGTGATGTATTTGTCAGTTTTATTCTTAAACTTTTATAGCACATGTCTTATGTATACCATTTTACTTACATTTCTAACATAAATATTAATTTACTGTAATACAATGGTTTCTTTGGTTGTCATAAGTAATAAAGCAGCAGCAAAAATATGTCTCACCTTCTACTTTAGTTATTATAGCATATTGTTTTCTGTTGTTTGTATTCTGTATTGATTCTATAGTTGTAAGATGGAAACATGGTTTTTCAAACCCTGTTCTTGTGTTTTTTTTCTGACCCTACAACTAAGCTACCTGCCAAAAAGTACTTTGCAGTACCACAGTAGCTTGTAACAAAGAGCAAAATTATCTATGAACTGTAAAGACTGAACCACAAACCATTTATCAACCAGAAGTCAAATGATTGTGGTTCCTGCTTCATCAAAAAGGGTTCTTGTCTAAGTGGCCTTACAGGTCAAATACAATCCTCCAGTCAAATTTCTTATCAGCATCTCTCTTCTATGATTCTATAATAATGAACTTTTATGGCCAGAGTTACCTTTTATAACCTTTACATTTACTGTTTCACAAAGGGTTAAACGACCAATGTCTACAATTTAGACTTTTTGAATGCAGAATATTAAATTAAAGAAATTTAGCAGGAGCAAAGGAAAAATCAACTAATAATAATCATCACTTAATAAAAGCCCTTGAATTAGACTTATGTAATTAACCTACTCTAATGTAGATTCCTAAGACTGATTTTGGGAGGAATGAGAGAAAGGAGGATGGGCTCATCCAGGCCTGAAGATGATTTAACAATTTGGACATATGTGTTACACCCCCTTCCTTCGTCTTACCAAATGTGGTTTGCTCTGTGAATCCCATTCTGTTGTTTCTCTCCCTCTCTGTAAAATTTCACATTGAGAAGTTTGGGAAAAGCTTCAGTCATTCATTACAGTGGTCATAAGCTCAGTTTTATCACTCTACATAATTCAGCAAGTCAAACTTAACAGTTGCATGTTATTTGTTGTGTGTGGCTGGGCTGTCAACTTTGACAG